AGACAGTGGTATTGATAATCCTGACCCTGTGTAGGGCTAGGTTAATGTGTGTGTTTGTGTTTTAGTTTTTAACAAAAAAGTTTTAAAAGTAAAGAAAAAATAAATATTTTTAAAATAGAAAAAAAAGCTTATAGAATAACGATATAAAGAAAAAATGTTTATACAGCTGAACAATGTGCTTTAAGCTGAGTGTTATTACAAGAGTTAAAAAGTTTAAAAAATCAAAAAGTTTACAAAGTGAAAGTTACAGTAAGCTAAGATTATTATTTTTAGAAAAATTATTATTAGATATAAATTTAGTGTAGGCTATAAATTTAGTTTATAAAGTATACAGTAGTGTACAATAATGTCCTAGGCCTTCACATTCACTCACCACTCACTCAGTGACTCACCCAGAGCAACTTCCAATCCTGCAAGCTCCATTTTTGGTAAGTGGCCTATATGGGTATACTGTTCTTTGTCTTTTATACCATATCTTTACCTTTTTTATGTTTAGATATATTTGGATATATACTTACCATTGTGTTAAAATTGCCTACGTTATTCAGTACAGTAACATGCTATACAGGAACTATACCATATAGCCTAGGTATATAGTAGCCCATACCATCTAGGTTTGTGTTGAGTACGTTCTGTGATGTTCACACAACAACTAAGTAGCCTAACAACGCATTTCTTAGAACATATACCCATAATTCTGTGATGCATGACTATATAATATACTTTAATAAAATGATTTAAAAGTTTCCCGTAAATGAAGATACTTCTGAGAACAGTTATATAAATTCAGAATTAAATCATGTTTTCTGATTGTATTTTCATCTTTTATTTTTTGTAAATTGTAGGGATAAATTTCAGTGTTTTAAATAATTGCAATTCTCTAAAACTTAAACTGAAAATTTTGGCACTTCACCATTGAATCAGAGATTCAACTGATTGTCTTTAATTAGAGACATCCAACTAATTTTGAATAAAATGTAACTACTAGGACTCATCAAAAAAAAAAAATTTGATGCCATTATAAGAGCTAGATCGATTTCAGAGTAGTTTTTCAAATGCTCAGATTTTCTAAAATCCAAAGTGCATGCATACTGTTGTGATGAATTTTTATGTATTCAGCATCAGCTTTGTCATAGAAATTTTATAGTTCAGTTACTTTAACTGTGGATAAATAAATATATTTGTAATTTATGCTGCAGTAACTTCTAAATGATATGAGAGAATATCTTTGGATAAGAATTGTTTGGATAACAATTATCAATTATATGTATACCACAACTAGTTCCTAGTAAATTCCTATTTTGTAGTTTTTAAAAATTAACTGAGAATGTTATTTTTATAAAATGTGTCTTCCACTAACATCTGTATTTGTAATATCAATAGCAGAGCCAATAATTTATCTTTGTTGATATACTTTTTAAATTCATTGACTTCATCAGTCACAAAAAGATGTTTTACTTTCAACGTAATAACCTTTAAAAAGTTTTACAAGTATACTTTGGAGGTGTTGCAGATTTAGTTCCAGACCACTGCAATAAAGCAAATATTGTAATAAAGGGAGTCACACCATTTTTTTTGGTTTCCTAGTGCATATAAGAGTTATGTTTACACTACATTGTAGTCTGTTAAATGTGCAATAGCATTATGTCTTAAAAAAACAATATACCTTAATCTTAAAATACTTTATTTTAAAAAATGCTAACCATTATCTGAGACTCCAGTGAGTTGTAAGGGTTGCCACAAATCTTCAGTTTGTAAAAAAAATGCAGCACAGTGAAGTGCAGTTAATGAGGTATATTTTGATACTTTTTTTTCAGGTTAAAAAAGTTGAACTATTATTGGAATTAACAGATTTTCTATTTGAAGTACCTGAAGACATTGATGCAAAACTACTATCCTTTAACTTTTTGCAAGGTTTTTCTGTTAATGAAAGCAACATATGAACATCTTCCTTTTTTGTATGTGCCTGAGAATGTGAGTGAAATTAGTTTAGAAGAGTCATTTGATTTAAATGGAAAGTTATATTCTACAGAGTGGATGTTAAATGTTACTATTCGCAGCTGCACATGTTAAATTGTCGCCTTTGAAGTATATGTTGATACTTCATCAGATTTATTTCTTTTGGTTTTCATGTGATCAGTGATATCATTTTGGTCTGCACAGAAAATATTAAATGTCATTATTTTGTGCTAATTACATGTTCATCATCAACATTCTAAGAATGAATTTGATTCTTAATTTTTCATTAAACATGACTTCCATTTTTAAATTCATTGCTGCAGAAAGGTAAGTATTACTAACCTGTAAAAAGACATAATTGTAGATTTATATAATACAATAAAGACAATCACTGCAGCAAGAATGGTCAGAATAATTCTATATATGCTCTGAAAGCATTGCTTGGCCTTCATTTCCCACATGGGTTTCACATACACCCTACCACCTTTTGTGATGACTACTTTGTGCAGATCGTGGTATAGACCATGGAGTAACAGACTAGTATGTAACAAGTATTTGGCAGGGACCAGAATGTTAAAAACTTCTCCCACTACCATCGAAGACTCGTAGAGTTAGTTGTCCCTGGTCATTTGAACATACTTTATTGGGTAAATGTGTAGTTTAATCAGCAAGTGCCCTTTATACTGACCTTGAAAGGGAGGTGTTACTTAAGATTGCAGTGGGAAACGATCAGGATAACATTGGTAATTGCCGTTCGTCTTTCAGATTTAACCCTTTATTAAAGTGCAGACTATTTGCTACACATACATTTCACATCTCATTAGAAGAATCCAAGACAGAAGCTGGAATTAGAAAGTGGAGGGCTACCAAATCTCTTGGCTTATTTTACTACAACTATTAATTAGTAATGATACTTTTTTTCTTTTAATGAAATAAAAATCTATGACCATTGCTAGTATATACATTAGTGGCTAATAATTTCCTTAGGGAATTAGATCACATTTCACATTATATGCTCTTATTTCATCATGTAATTTTTCTCTACTAAATCACAGTTGATAATTATATATTGATTTTTGTAATTATTTGTTCATTATCCACCTGCCCCAGTAGGCCAGAAATTGTGAAGAAAAAAGCCGTTTGTTCCTTCTCATTGTATCCATGACATCTAGCACAGTGACTTGGTTGTAATAAAGACTCACTAAATATTTGTAGAATAAGTGAATGAGTGAATGCACAGATACCCTGTTGTCAGCAGATATATCCCAGTTGATACCTAACTAAATAGAAAGCCCTTGGGAGTTGAAAATAGCATTCTTTTGCAGATACCTTTGGCTTATATAATAACATTCTAAGAATACAGTAGGTGTGTGTGTGTGTGTGTGATAATGTTTAGTCAAATGTATAAATTTTGTATGTTTATAAATGCTTGTAAAATAATAGCTAACGCATTGAATACTGTCAGGTATTGTGCTTAAGTACTTTTTTATACATGTTATCTTTTTTAATCTTTACAACTATCTTGTGAAGTAAGTATTACTGCTATGCCAAGTTTACTAAGGCTTAAATAAATGAAGTACCTTGCCCTGGGACATTTACAAAGCTAGTAAATGCATCATAAGAATGGAAATTTGATCACACCTTTCAATTTTAAGTTAAAGACTTTGTGTCAGTGAAATTTTAAGTTAACAACTCTACTAACAGAAAGGATTTATCACACAGAACAAAATATCCAGTCATACACAATCCATGCCTAATATAGCACTTAATTATATTATCAGAGCCCTAGGTCTTTTCATTTTCCTGCTGTGCTATGCTCAGTGTGTGACTGCATCCTCGTTAACTATGTTTGCAAGCTGGCTGGCTGCACTATCTCTGGGCATTGCATCAGTTCCCAGGAAGGAGAAAAGGTGAAATGCATCTTAAATGACTTTCTTAGAAGCCCCATTAGGTGACTTATGCTGCTATCTCATTGGCTAGACCTGAATTATTTGGCCACTCCTTGCTACAATGAATCTAGGAAGGTGAATATTTGACTTTTTTGGTATTGTTTTTGATCTTTTAGTTTCTTCAAGTATACCGTTAAAAATCCTAGTTTTGAGAAGTGTTTGACTGCAAAGGTTGACCATCCTGTGCTGTATACAGGGAACTTTTTAAATTGAAGGGAAATATGGTCAGATCATGCTTTAGAAGGCATGCTCTGATGGCTATATGGTAGATTGGAGGACGACAGGATGGAAGCAGGAAGAGACTGTTTAGGAGACCTTTGCAGTGGTTTACATAAGAGATCTTACAAGTCTGAACTAGAAAAATGTTTGTAGGAATAAAAAGGAGACTAAAGATTCCAAAAATATTTAGGAGGTCATATGGATAGGACTTGGTAGTTGATTGGCTCTGTGGAGACAGGAGAATGAAGAGTCAAAGGTGGCTCAGGTTGCTGGCAGAAATGAATGAGTGGTGCCTTTTTAGACACACTGAGTTTGTGAGATACCTGGGTTTCCTTCATGGGCAGATTTTTATTAATTGAGAAAGGATTAGGATTTGCTATATGTCACAAATATTTTTTTCTTGATAATATCCCTTTTTTACTTTTTGTAGTCTAGAAGTTTCCAATTTTGTATAATCAGTTCTGTTAATATTCTCTTTTATATTTCTGGCTTTAGTGTCATAATTAGACAGCCTGGCCTGTCTTCTCCCAAATTATTGAAGTATATACCAAATCTGTTTCTTGTACTTCTGTGGTATAAATATTGATTTGATCGGGATTTTATTTTGGTGAATAGGATGAGGTAAGGAAAGAAAATGGAAGAGTATTTTCAGTTGTTAGAATATGATTGAATACTATTACTATATATGTGTGATATAAAACATGAAAATACTGAAATTTCTTTTTCAAGTAGTTCTGACATGGATTTTTTTTATGGTTTTGATGTCTTGAGAAATATTCTGTTGTTATTTCTTTCCAAAAATAAAACACCCCAAAGTTTTAATTTTTATTATAAATCAAAATTTAAATATCTGTTTTTTATATTCTCTGATAGCAGGAGGATGCATTAGCACAACAGGCCTTTGAAGAGGTTCGGAGAAGGACACGTGAATTTGAAGATAGAGACAGGTCTCACCGGGAGGAAATGGAGGTGAGAGTTTCACAGCTGCTGGCAGTAACTGGTTAGTACTTTCCCCCAAACTCTCAGGCTCTATTTGTAATGTTTGTGCATAATGTTTTTAAATAATTTAAGTTTAATATCATCTTTTATTTTTAAAAAGTTGTACTCATTGACTGTGTTTATTAAATGTAATCACTATAAAGAAACTTAGTCTTAATTTTAAGGTTGTACATGAGTTCTTCATTTATTGGTCCTTATAAAAATCATATAGTATAAGGTGTATTTTAATTCAAATTTTCTCTTGATCCAAATATCTTACCTCTTTTTTCATAATTATTTTTTAGATTATATGTTAAAAAAAACAAACTTATGTTATCATAGAATATATTCTGAGAACAATATTAAAACTTTTGGGGAGTATTGTTATTTTCCACTTTTATATGAATATTTGTCTTGTTTTTGTTCCAATATAATTTTCAGTCATTTGTGTATTCTCTTACTATAAAGTTTAATATTTAAAAACTACTTAAAGACTAGAATTAGCTTAAACTCATTTCCTTTACACCTTTTTATGGTAAAGGAAAAAACAAATATAGAAATCCACATAAAAGTAATATGTAGCTTAATTATCATAAGGCTAACACCCTTATAAATACCATTTAGGTCAAAAAATAAAACTTTGACAGCTACCCCAGCACCCCCTTCCATGTATGCATTGAATTATGACCCTTTCACTCTTCTCAAAAGTAATCATTACCTTACTTTTTATAGTAATCACTTTTCTGTGTCTTTCTATGGTTTTATTACCCATGTCAAGTTTATTGTCTTGCCCACTGTTTAGATTTAATATGACTTTTAATTGACATGGATGTTTAATTTTTTCTACATAAAATTATACCCTGCTTTAAGCATACTTCAGTTATAAAAATTAAGTGTCTGCAAGTTGTTCCGAAATCCAAACTCTAAAGTATACTTTAACAAAACAAACAATCAAGATAAGAACTGATTGTTTAAAAGAATATTGTCAAATCTTAATATCAGTCATGTACTTCAACTTTATGTACATAATTATCAACATGAACACTTTACACAAGAAGATAGAGAAAAAGTCCATGTTTATCTTTGATAATCAAAAGAAATGGAATTAAAATGTAATTCTAGTATATCAACTAAATAGAATAATATCCAGGCATTAAAGAGTTCTGGAGATTGGTTTCACAACGAAGCAAATGTTTAACCCTACCGAATTATGCACTTAAAAATGGTTAAGATGGTAATTTTTATGTTATGTTATGTGTATTTTACCACATTTTAAAAAATGTTTTAAAAAATGTTTTAAGTCAGTGCCATATATTACAGAAAATTTGGTTTTTCTATGCATAAAGTTTTATGTACATTATTATTTACACTATTATTTAAATTAACACAAAAGTGTGTGTGTGTGTGTGTGTGTGTGTGTGTGTGTACGTGTACCCAGACTCTAGAGCTAGACTGCAAGATCTGACTCTGGCTCTGCCACTTAGTGGACAACTTATTTCACCTTTTTGGTTGAATTTTCTCATCTATAAAATAGGGCTAATAATCATAACTATCTCATAGAGTTATTATTTATTCTTGTGAAAGTACTTTTAGAGTGTGTGGCACTGACTAGTTGTCAGCTGCTATTTTTGATATTATTTCATATATGTTTTTTCTATTATGTTACAGTTCTTCTAAATAAGTGAAAAAACTCAAGCCTACTCAGTGGTTAGTGTATGAAATAAAGTTATCTTTCAATGATTAATATTTCCCTTTGTCATTGAGTGAATTGATTTAATCGGCTGATAGCAACTAATGATGTTCCCATACTTATTAGCTGGAAGAGACGGGAGATGTAATACGTTTGTTTTATTTGAAGCTTTTACAGTTCTTGTGATTAAACTTCCACAGCATTTTCTCTCAGAATGCTTGTATCTGTAATAGTAAGAAGTTTTAAAATGTATAATATGTATTTGTTATTTTATACCAAACCTTTTTGCTCATGCTGCTTGTTCCCTGGCCAAGAATGTACTTTCTCTCAATTCATCAAGGCCCTTCTTAATGTTATCTGTCAGTCTCTTCTCTGGTCTTCTTAATCATTATTAGCCCTTTTACTTTGTAGTTTCCAGATCTCTTCTTATTTTTATTATTGTTCTTACTGAACAGTATGTTGAAACAATTATAAATATGTGTTGTCCTCCACTCTATTGTGATCCCCAATAAGACAGGGCCGCTCATTTTTTAACTTCCACATTACACACTACAGTGTTTTCTACATCGTGTTTAGTCGTCATATGGAGATCATCAAAAAACAGCTCCTACCTTGCCTGTCAGAAAACTAGAGTTACAGGATAGCCTGTGGGTAGGTTAGTTAGAGTAGAATAATACATCTCGATGGAGATTTAAAATGTTCATAATTTGTTGGTTTATATTAATTAGATAATGTATTAAGCAATGAACCCCTGCATTAGGGACTAGGAAATATACAGATGAAAACATGGTTTCTCCCGTCTGGTCTCGGAAGTTAAGCAGGGTCGGTCTTGGTTAGTACTTGGATGAGAGACCACCTGGGAAGCCCAGGTTCTGTAGGCATAAAAATAAAAAATAAGGGACTGCAAACTGACAAGTTTCTTGCAATCTAAAAAAAAAAAAGAAAAAAAGTATGGTTTCTATCCTTGAGCAACTATCAGTCTTGAGGGAAAATAGGTGTATAAACAGATAATTGCAGTCTGCTTTAGCAGCAGCAATACATAATGGAAGTTCAGAAGGAGAACTGTGGCAGTGTAGAGGATAGAGTGCTTATATCTGCCTCTGCTTGGGGATTCACAGAATACATTTGCAGAGATTTGAGGGAAGATCATGAGTTTGCCAGCTGGACAAGTTAGGGAAAACCTGGGCAAAAGCAACAGTATACGCAAAGGAGCAAAAGAGTAAGAGATCTCTCCATGTCAGAGAACATGATTGGTCAGTCTTTCTGAAGCATGCTAATAACATGGCTTTAAATGAATATAAGAATCATTTTATAAAAAGTATTCTTCAGGTACACTATATTTGAAGAATAACTATTTAACAGTTAATGAAACAGTTATTTAGAAAGTTGTATATCTTTTGCTTTAAATAAAATGCTCCATTAGTTGAGACTAAGAATTGCCTTTTCTAAAATGTTCGATTGTTCTTTTAATGTTACTTGAAGAAAAACATTTCAATGTGTGTTTACATTTGTATATGAACAAAAATACAGTGTGTTGATGGAGGTGTCAGAATTTATTGTGTAGATAGTTTTCAGTTGGTTTTATGTCATTGATTTGAGAGTATGGGCTTTGTAGTCAGGCCTAATTGAGTCCTACTCCATCACTTTCCAGTCTCAAGCCCGTTTTCTCATAGAAATTGTTGCAAGAATTAAATGGGAAAATGCTTATAAAGCACTTAGTACAGTGCTTGGTATGTGTATGCCTTCAGTAAATAATCTCTGAAGTACGTCTTTAGCACTAAAAGCTCTACCACAGTGATGGTTCCAGTTAATTGAATTATCTGGCTAACAAGAACATCCTTTTAGTTCTCTAAAGTGTATCAGGGCACTTTCCCTGCATTATGACCTAGAGCATAGAAAAAATAGATTTTCATCAATGATTTAAGATCCTGTAGTCTCTTATGACAGTAATTTAAAACATCGGTTGTAGAGAACTGACATCTAGAAAATTGGGCTGAAATCAGACTCCAGAGTTTGCACTGGTAGTCACTTAGAGGAGTTGGGGGTATTCATGTCTTTTGACACTTGCACATGTATATTTTACTTCCCTTAAAAATCCATAAATCCCTTATGTCAGCTTATTTTCTTTAGTTTACCTCCTTTTTCCTAAAAAAGAACATTGGAGAAAAATGTTTCCCCCCTGTAATTTAAACATCTGTAGGAGGCCTTATATACTTGGACACATTTTTTCCTTTGTTTTTGGGTTCGTTTTTTGAAAAGTCACAATTTTATTTAAAAAATGGTTTTCTTACATTCAGCTTCACATTCTTATTACAGTTGAGGAAACTGAGACTCTTAGAAAAATTAATTGACTTGCTCTCTTTCAAATAGTTGGTTAATGCAAGGAAGAGTGAATACTTAAACCAGTTTCCTAACCAAAAGATCTCCACAAATACATCTTAGAACTGGAAAATGAATTTCCACATCACCCATAAAAATGATTAAGTTGAAAAATGAAATTTGCCAGGAGAGGTTAGAAACCGTTTTGCCTGGAAAAGAAAAAGCCAAGGCAGAACAGAATGATGATTTTAGTGGGTGGTCCTGATGCCTGACTAGAGATGAGGGCCAAGGAATAGTGGTAACTAGTGGATGGCAGTAACCCAGTAGATGGTCCTTGGAAGCTTGAAATCCTGGCAGCATAGAGGTTTAGGGATGTCCTGCCTCTGTTTGGATAACCTCTGAGGCCTCTGGCTCTGTCATGCTAAACCTGTAATGGTGGTGTTCATGAGCATTTAATATATGTGTAATGTTGAGATTACTGACAGTGAGAAGCAGAACTCCAAGTAGTTAATAGCCCAAGGGTTTTTGATTTTCACCAGTGTCCTTTAACCTGAAATCAGTTAGAAAATTCTATTTCACCATCTGTAAAGTTTAGAAACTTTTCAGTCCATCATTCATGGTAGAATTTAGCATTTTCTTTTTCAAATTTTTCTGGAGAAGAGTATTTTAGCAATGTGATATTTTCTTTACCTTTTAGAGGTAATGGCAGATTATCATTTGTCTGGCAAATGAAAAACTATAGTAAAATGAAGACACATTGTGTACTTTAGTAATCTCTTCCATATACTGTTAAACCTATGGTGTATAATAAATTGATAGCCAAAAGGTAAAAATTCTGTGTATAATATCTTACCCTGTGGATATCTTTAAAAGGAATACATACACATATTTGTTTGAATGTTCATAGTCATTCTAGTAGGGTACATAAAAAACTGGAAATGGAAACCATAGAGGGGAATCAGGTATCTGGGGGCCACATGGGAAGGTCATTACTTTTCACTGTTTATCTTTTGTACCTTTTGAATTTTGTATCGTGCATCTATTACCTATTTAGAAAAGAAATAAAATTTGTTTTTTATCATTAGCACAGAATGATAAAAACAGAGTCCTCTAGAACTTACTATCTATATCCTCTGGCATATAGGCATTTTAAAAAATGTGAAATCTTTTCTTCACTTGAAATTTTATACAGAACTCCAGTATATAAAATAGATATAAGGACACTGCTCTGAGTGAAGCAGGTGCGGGGATTATTTTGGGCTCCCTCTGGAAGTCCCTGGGGTATTTTCTGGGAACCCAGTACCTGGCAGCATGTAACTTGAGTACCTTTAATGTGGAAGACTGAGTGTGATGTTTGTAATAGATTGCCCTGGTTCAAATCCTAGCTCTACTACTTGTTGCCATGTGACATTGAGAAAGTTGCTTATTCCCTTGAACCTCATCTGTAAAACAGGGCTAATAACACCTTTCTTCCTGGGTTGCTGCCTAGCTCAGTTTCTCACACCTAAATTGGGACCCAGTGGAAGCTAGTTTCTTCACCCCCTCATTCTGTATACCTTGGCTTAAAGGAAAAAAATCCCAGCCTTATTTAAGTTCCCATAGATTTTAATTTTCAAAACACTTTACCAACATTAATATTTGTGTAAGGACAAATTAACATATCTGGAATAGCAGTAAAGGCAGGCGTATCCTAACTTCAAATATTATTTTGCTGAGCTACTTTAGATTCTGGTTTTGTTTGTTTGTTAACAACAATGAAGGATTTTGAACTTTTCTTGGTTCTGTTGGAGGTCAAGATAGCAGTTACCTGAGGGGTTGAGTAGTGTGACTGGGGAAAGGTACAAGGAGAAGTTTCCAAGTTTTGTTAATGTTCTTGATCTGGGTGCTAGTTACGTGGGTGTGTTCACTTAGTGAAAACTCATCAAGTTATATATTTATGATTTGTGCACTCATCTGTACTTTAATGAAAAGTAGACTTTAAAAAAGAAAAAGTAATCACAGACATTGCTTCTATGAAATGACTGCCCGTTTGATGTCTCTTGCCACATAGAAGTAGCCCAGCCTTTTCTACCTGAGAATTCTTCCACGATTTGAAGATGACGTGTTACCCATGGTAGTTCTCTTCAGGTTACACATCTCTATAACTATAATTCAAATGCCCGCTTTTGGGCTTTTGCGAAGGGAGATTGAGGTTAATAAAGAACAGAATGAGTGCTCTGGTCATAAATAAATTGGAAAGATACCTCCAACTATCTGTTTGATAGAAACTCATATACACTCTTATTTAGAGGCTGCTTCCATCTTGATTGCCCTCTTAACCAAAAACTGTAATACAACATTGCTGGCTCTTAATTCAGCTGCATGGTGACAGGGCACTGAAGGAGGTTTTCTCTATCGTTGTGTAGGAAATGGTTTCATTTGGTTAAGTTATAAAGCATGAGCAAATAAATTGTTGCCTTTAATATCAGAGAATGGGTAAATAATTATTACTTATTCTACTCTAGGCAGTTTTAATACAATTCAGCAGTCGTAGGAGAATTTTATGTCGAAACTATTTGGAAATAAAAACAGGCAAAAGGCTTTATGTGGCTTTTGTATTTGTGTTTTGTATGTTTTTGGAGCCTTCAATTCTGTGTGGTCCAAGAAAAAAATCCCAGCCTTATTTATTTTGAATCCCCACAGACTTCAGTTTTCAGATCACTCTACCAACACTCATATTTGTGTAAGGACAAATTAACATAAGATTCTGTCTATACGAGGCCTTTCTGAGGTATGTTTTAGGTAAAGGCAGTAGATGAGAGTGAACTGGGAATATGAACTCAGACTAAAAATGAGAATTATAAAAGGATGAATGAGGAAGAGGTTAGTAGATCCGTCTTCTCCC